TCCCAAGACTAAATCAGGAAGAAGTCAAATCCCTGAATAGACCAATAACAAGTTCTGAAATTGAGGTAGTAATTAATAGCCTACCAACAAAAAAAGCCCAGGACCAGATAAATTCACAACCAAATTCTACCAGAGGTACAAAGAGGAGCTGGTGCCATTCCTACTGAAACTATTTTAAACAACTGAAAAACAGGTATGCCTCCCTAACTCATTTTATGAGGCCAGCATCATCCTGATACCAAAACCTGGCAGAGACACAACAAAAAAAGGTAATTTCAGGCCAATATCCCTGATAAACATCTATGCGAAAATCCTCAATAAAATACTGGCAAACCAAATTCATCAGCACATCAAAGAACTTATTCACCATGATCAAGTTGGCTTCATTCCTGGAATTCAAAGCTGGTTCAACATATGCAAATCAATAAACACAATCCATCACATACACAGAACCAATGACAAAAAACACATGATTATCTCAACAGATTCAGAAAAGGCCTTGATAAAATTCAACACCCCTTCAGGCTAAAAATACTCAACAAACTAGGTATTGATGGAACATATCTCAAAATATTAAGAGCTATTTATGACAAACTCATAGCCAATATCATAGTGAATGCGCAGAAGCTGGAAGCATTCCCTTTGAAAACCGGCACAAGACAAGAATGCCCTCTCTCCCCACTCCTATTCAACATAGTATTGAAAGTTTTGGCCAGGGCAATCAGGCAAGAGAAAGAAATAAAGGGTACTCAAATAACAAGAGAGGAAGTCAAATTGTCTCTGTTTGCAGATGACATGACTGTATATTTAGAAAACCCCATCATCTCAGCCCCAAAACTCCTTAAGCTAATAAGTAACTTTAGCAAAGTCTCAGGATTCAAAACCAATGTGCAGAAATCATAAGCATTCTTATACACCAATAATGGAGAGCCCATTCATAACTGCTACAAAGAAAATATAATACCTAGGACTACAACTTACAAGGGACGCAAAGGGACTTTTCAAGGAGAACTACCAGCCACTGCTCAAGGAAATAAGAATGGACAGAAATAAATGGAAAAACATTCCATGCTTATGGATAGGAAGAATCAATATTGTGAAAATGGCCATACTGCCCAAAGTAATTTATAGATTCAACGCTATTCCCAACAAGCTTCCAGTGATTTTCTTCACAAAACTACAAAAAACTACTTTAAATTTCATATGGAATCGAAAAAGAACCTATATGGCCAAGACAATCCTAACCAAAAAGAACAATAAAGGCATCATGCTACCTGAGTTCAAACTATACTATAAGCCTACAGTAACCAAAACAGCATGATACTTGTACCAAAACAGATATATAGACCAATGGAACAGAACAGAGGCCACAGAAATAACACCACACATCTACAACCAAATGATCTTTGACAAACCTGATGAAAACAAGCAATAGGAAAAGGATTCCCTGTTTAATAAATTGTGCTGTGAAAACTGGCTAGTCATGTACAGAAAACTGAAACTGGACCCCTTCCTTACACTTCATACAAAAATTAAGTCAAGATGGATTAAAGACTTAAATGTAAATCCAAAAACCATAAAAACCCTAGAAGAAAACATAGCAATATCATTCAGGACATAGCCATGGGCAAAGACTTCATGACTAAAACACAAAAAGCAATTGCAACCAAAGCCAAAATTAACAAATGGGAATTAATCAAACTAAAGAGCTTCTATACAGCTAAAGAAATTATCATCAGAGTGAACAGGCAACCTACAGAACGGGATAAAATTTTTGCAATCTATCCATCTGACAAAGATCTAATATCCAGAATCTACAAGGAACTTAAACAAATTTACAATAAAATAAAAACTCCATCAAAATTTGGGCAAAGGTAGCTGGGCACACTGGTGGCACCTGTAATCTCAGCTACTTGGGAGGCTGAGGCAGGATAATTGCTTGAACCCAAGAGGCGGAGGTTGCAGTGAGCTGAGATTGCACCACTGCACTCTAGCCTGGGCGACAGAGCAAGACTCTGTCTCAAAAAAAAAAAAAAAAGTTTGACAAAGGACATGAACAGACACTTCTCAAAGGAAGACATTTATGCAGCCAACAAACATATGAAAAATAAGCTCATTATCACTGGTCATTAGAGAAATTCAAATCAAAACCACAATGAGATACCATCTCATGCCAGTTAGAATGGCGATAATTAAAAAGTCAGCAAGCAAATAACAGATTCTGGAGAGGATGTAGAGAAATAGGAATGCTTTTACACTGTTGGTGGGAGTGTAAATTAGTTCAGCTATTGTGGAAGACAGTGTGGTGATTCCTCAACGATCTAGAATCAGAAATACCATTTGATCCAGCAATCCCATTACTGGGTATATACCCAGAGGATTATAAATCATTCTACTATTAAGACACATGCACATGTATGTTTTTATTGCAGTGCCATTCACAATAGCAAAGACTTGGAACCAACCCATATGCCCATCAATGATAGGCTCGATAAAGAAAATGTGGCACATATACACCATGGAATACTATGCAGCTATAAAAAAGAATGAGTTCATGTCCTTTGCAGGGACTTTATGAAGCTGGAAACCAGCATTCTCAGCAAAACTAACACAGAAACAGAAGACCAAACACCGCATGTTCTCACGCATAAGTGGGAGTTGAACAATGAGAACACATGGACACAGGGAGGGGAACATCATACACCAGGGCCTGTTGTGGGGTGGGGGCAAGGGGAGGGAGAGCATTAGGACAAATACCTAATGGATGCAGGGCTTAAAACCTAGATGATGGGTTGATGGGTGTAGGGCACATGTATACCTCAGTAACAAACCTGTACATGTATCCCAGAACTTAAAGTTTAATAAATTGAAAAAAAAATGACCTAGATTCAATAAAAACCCCAGCAGTACTGAGGGTGGATTAAAGTTTGATTTGAAATGTATAAGGAAATACAAAAGGCCAAGAATAGCCAGGGCAGTCATAAAAAAGGATTTACACTTCAGATATAAGATACATTGAATATATTAAGAGAATGGTATACTGATGCAAGGACACACAAAAAAAACAACAATAAAGTAACAGATTAAATAGTCCAGATACACAAACACATTTATGGTCTTTGATTTATGAAAAGATAGCCTTACACCGCAGTGAGAAAACTATATTCTTTTCAACAAATGGTGCTGAATATCTACTTAGAAAAAACTGAATTGTCACCCTTATCCTACATCATGGATTGTAGATCTAAATGTGAAAGTAAAATAACAAAGGTCCTAAAAATGAAATAAGAAAATATTTTCATGGGCTTGGTGTAAGCAAGGATTTCTCTTCTTTTATTTTAAGTTCAGGGGTACATGTGCAGGATGTGCCAGTTTGTTTTATTTTATTTTATTTTATTTTATTTTATTTTATTTTATTTTATTTTATTTTATTTTATTTTTATTTATTTATTTTTTGAGATGGAGTCTCACTCTGTTGCCCAGGCTGAAGTGCAGTGGCGTGATCTCAGCTCACTGCAAGTTCCGCCTTCTGGGTTCACGCCATTCTCCTGCCTCAGCCTCTGGAGTAGCTGGGAATACAGGCGCCCACCACCTCGCCTGGCTAATTTTTTGTATTTTTAGTAGAGACGGGGTTTCACCGTGTTAGCCAGGATGGTCTCGATCTCCTGATCTCGTGATCTGCCCACCTTGGCCTCGCAAAGTGCTGGGATCACAGGCTGAGCCACTGCGACCGGCTGTCAGTTTGTTACTCAGGCAAACATGTGCCATGGTGGTTTGCTGCACAGATTATCCCTTCCCAAATATTCTACCATAAAAGAGAAGACTGATTAGATAGACTGACTATATGTAAAAATAGGAACTTTTGTTCTGTAAAAAGTATAATTCAAGTGAAAAATCTAATACATACAGTGAGATATTTGCAATTTATAACCTACAATGGACTTGTATCTAGAATATATTAAAAAATAAGTAAAAGACAGTAAGTTTAAAAAATCAAAAGACAGACATCCAAACAGACAAATAGATAACAGACATTAAGAAGAACTTTACTAAAGAGATTATCCAAATAATTAAGAAATGTAAAAAAGGTGCTCAACATCATTCATCATTAGGGAAAGGCAAATTATAAATACAGTGGGATAGTAATACATGCTAACATCGAAAAGACAGTATCAAGTATCAGGCAAGGATATAAAGCAAAACTCTCATACACTGTTGGTTGAATTGTAAAATGGTACTACTACTTTGGAAAATTGAATGACAATATCTAATAAAGTATACATAATTCTATAACAAAGCAATCCAATTTCTATGTTTGGCCACATAATCATGCACATTTGTTCACCAAAAGGCATGTATAAAAATATCATTTGTAATTGCCCAAACTGGAAATGTCCTTCAGTAGTAGAATTGACAAATATATTATAGTATACTTACACAATGGAATATTACACAGCAATGTATTCAAGTACAACAAACCAATTGAAATCATTCCCCATACCAAAATAGGTTCCCAAAAGATTTCTACTTGATTACAGTTTATTAGTCTTTGTACTACAAAGCAGTGAAAATGAGCAAACTACTGCTTCATGCAACAATATAAACGAATCAGAGAATAGCATGTGACATAATGTTGGGTGAAAGAAATTAGACATAGAAGAATACAGATTGTATAGTTTCATTTATGTAAAGTTCAAAAACAGACAAAACTAGTAAATATGTGGTCCTAGAATTCAGGATAGTAATTGCCTCCAAAAAGTAAGGAGGAAAAGTGTATGTAGTGGTATCAGTAGTCTTCTGGGTTATGGGTAATCTTTTATTTCACAATCTAGGTTATAGTTAAATGGGTATGTGTGTATGTTCATTTTGTGATAATTCTTAAGTTGGACACATATGATTATATAATATAATTATATATGTCAAACTTTAGTAAAATATTTATCATAGAAAATATGGCTTAAAATATTAGGATCTTAAATTCACAGTAACTTCTTACTAACCTGTAATAACTTGCACTGTATCCATCAATGATTTCAAATCAGTCTCCCCTTTAGCTGTAAGATAAAGTGAATTCAGGAAAAAATTATTTCTAAATAATAATCCAGAAACCAGCTAAAGTTTGATATTATACATCATTATTTAGCTTCACTTTAATTGAATAACTCTTGTCATTTTTCAACTTTTTAAATTCTTAGAAACAAAATAGTATGGTGTAGCACAATAGATAACCCCATATGTTCTCAAATAAAAAAGTGAATAATAGATTTACATGTAGCAAGACAAGAACTTCCATTCCAAGAAGGCTAAAACATAATTTCTAATTGTGTTATACTGTTTAAACACAGTATTTAGAACTATTTCCCCACAATTTCATATATGCTGTTTTCCTAACCAATTGAAACACATAAACCAAAGTTGAAATTAACTCTTTCTACATGCCTATTTCAGATGTATAATTATATTTGAGGACTATGCTTATTACTAGTATCAGCATTTAAGCTTCCATTTTCTCTTTATTTTTATATAATAAGAGCAAAATTTAAGTATGTATGCATGCATATGTATATGCACAATCATATATTAAAATAATAAGAGAAACATTGCTGTCTAGAAAAAGATGGCAACTACCAAATTGAAATGCCAGCTGCCAGACCATGTTACCATACAGTCATTTCAGCTAAGGTCCCAAGTTTGAATTCACAATACAAAGGACAATTTGAGGATGTTAATGTATGAACATATAAATAATGTATGAATGTATAGGTTGTATGAGAGATAAACATATAAAAATTGATGACTATAATAAACTGCTATGGTTGAAGCCAAGGTTGAGGAACTAGAGCTCACCCTATGTATCACTACCTCTTTATCTTCTTCCTGCATAGCAACACTTGAAACAATTCAATAAAACATAGTCTTCAAGAGTTAATTCCATATTAGTAAGCTGGCCCTTGACCATTGGACCATAATGTCTGGCTTGGAAAAGAATATGTTCTTACTGGGCTATTATGCTTTCTTATAAACATGATGAAAAATACCATCCATGCAAGTTAATTCTCTGAAGACCCTCAATTCTGATAATGACACAGGTCTCTGGTGACAAAGACCATATGTTCATCTCTGGTCTATTCCTAACAGACTTTGATACAGCATGTCACTCGGAATTGTTGCAAACAAATGGTTACATTATACCAAGTGTAAATATTACTGTCCTGACCAAAAGCAGTGCTTCATTTTCTTTAGGAATTATCCTGTCAATATCTATTCATTCACTTATTCATTATGTCATTCTCTCGTTTACTCAGTAATTTGTTCATCTCTAATTTAACATTTATGGAGTACCTACTTATATGCCAAGTGCTATTCTAGGTATTGGAAGATAAATAATATGCCCATCCCTACTTTAAGGCTCATATTAAAGTGACAAGATATGCAAATAAACATAAATATACAATTACAGTACAATGTGGCAAATATCATGAAAAATATATGCACAGTTATTGTGGAAATACAGAAAAGAGGTATCTAATATAGTCTGGGTAGTTATGAGAAAACTTTCTGAAATAAAAAACATGGCTCTCAATTCTGATAAGCAACGAGAAAGAGTTAGTCATATGAAGGGAAAGGAGAGACCCTCCGAGTAATGGAGACATCATAAAGCAAGGAAGTGATAAAAAGCATGATATAAAATACAAGTGATATAGAGTTACTTTATTCTATGATAGAAAAATGGAATGAAAGTACAATATTATTGGAGGGTAAAATACTAGATTAGGTAAACAGGATCCAAATCACAAAGGAACTTGTTTTCCCTATCAACGGATTTAAGACATTTTTTAGTACATGATTGTAAGCCATTAAACACTTTTAAATTGAGTCGTGATGTGGTCAGATTTGCATTTCATATAGATCACTATGATGGCTATTTTGTAGAAGCCATTGTAATAGTTGAAATCAGGAAGGAAACAACCTGAAATATGACAATGATAGAAGGAACAAAGAGATGTTAACAGATTTATATATGGAATTTTTTTCAATATTTCATTATGTAAATTTTCAAACATATGGCAAAATTGGAAAAAACTGTACAATGAACAGGCCTATGAACTAAATTCTACTATCAACATTTTAGTATTCTTGCTTTGTCACATATCCAATCATCTATGTATGGTAGTTTGAGGTAAAACTGGCATGACAAAGTGATAGTCCAGATAGGAGGTGATAGGAAACAAGTGGTTGTAAAAAATGAATCCCACATAACTAGCTTAGATGACTAAATAGACAGTGATAGCACAAATGGGACAGAGAATATAGGACTAGAAGGTAGCCTGGACAGGGAACCAGTGAATTAGGTTTCAAATAGGTCAAAGGATGTCTCCTATGGAATATCTGAGTAGAAATGTCTAGCAGGCATTTGGATACACCAGTCTGCAGTGCAGGAGAGAGGTCTGTGTAAAAATACAGACTTGAAAGTCATCAGCATGTAGGTAATATGTAAAACAGTAGATATGAGTGAGATTTTCCAGAGAGAGGATGTAAAATGAAAATCAGAATGAGAAAATCCAGATTGTGGTAACAACACAGAAGCTAGGGGAACAAAATTTCAAGGTCAGATTTATCATCAATATCAAAGACAGCAGAGAGCTCCAATAACAAACAGAATGAATAATGTCTAATGCAACTGACAAATGGCAACTTATGATGTCCTTAGAGAAATTTCAGTAGTGTTAGGGAGCTGAGTTAGAATATAAAAATGAATGGGAAATATGGAAAGAATACACATTAACCTTCTTTCATTCCTTTCTTTTTCCACTCTTTTCTTTGGCTTCCTGAAAATTCCCAGATGTGAAAAACAATCTTGGAATCAATCTAGTCAAATGCTTTGTATTCTGTGTGGATTTAGAAAATGAAGACAGGCTTTGTTCTTGCTCTGAAACGGAATCTTTCTGAGATGTTGCAAGGTTTTTTTTATTAACATGAAATTAAACTGGTTTTAGAAATACTCATATGTAAACCCTCGACCCTCTTATGAAGAATTTTTTTTATATCTAAACTGAGTTACCATCAACTGGAAGGTTTCTTGTCAGCTCTCCAAGTTCTTCTTTGGTAAGTTCAATCCCCATGTTTCCTAGTACGTTGTCCAAGTCTCTGATATCTACTGTCTCTCCTTAGTAAAGAGAAAGAAATATGAAAATTCCCACTAATGCTGCAATGTTCCACCCTATATTTGTTTATGCATTAAAGATTTTGTTTTGCAAGTAGACTTAAGATCACTGGAACTTGTTTAAATTTACACAGAGATTCAATATGGTTAGAATTAAGCTTAGTTCCCTTAAATCTTTTTAGAAGAATAAACATACACACCATAAACTTTCAAAGGGAACAAAATTAGCTTCCAGCATATTATTCTTATAATGAAAATAAGAATTTCTAGTGAAATGAGAAAATTACAATGGTTGGAATAAGAATACATGGGTTTGAAAACTGTTTTCTACTATTTATTATCTACAGGAACTTATTCAAGTAACCTAACTTCTTTGGTTTCCAGTTTTGTGTTGTATGAAATGAAAATGTTCCTACCTGTTTCACCGAGTTTCTATGGGGATAAAGTTACATGTGAAAAAACCTAGAACTCTGTCAGCATAGCAAGTACTTGATACATTTTAATAACTACTTCTGAGCCAAAGGTAGGCTCATTTACCTTTTTAACCCAAACTAGACTCACTGTCCACTCTAACCACAATCACTGAATGGCAATTCTCTTGCATTTCACAATTAACCTTTAAAAATAAACTCAGTCTCTTCTCTAGGAAAGTGTATCAAAATGTGTATAAATATGATCAATATAAATAAACCAAAAAAGACATTCTGTCAAGATAAAAAATAACATAAATTATGTTAGATCCATATATTGGAAAGTAGCAGGATTCCTTATCAAGTGATTAGGAACTATGACGACAAAGAGGTAAATTGAGAGTGATTTGTTAATTCATCACCCATCTTACCATTGAAAGCTTTCAAATCAGGTAAGATTTCATTCTGATACATCTTCTCAGACTTAGTTTATGTCTTTACTGTGAAATATATCTGATCACCTATTTATGGTCATTACTGAGAAAAAACTTATTGTAAAAGACTAATATTTAGTTGAGAAGACAAACATTTAGCAAAGGGATATAACTGAATATATATTCACCATTATGATGATTCATGTCTTTCTTTGGGATGAAGGGTAATGCTCAAACAGTATACATCACAAAAGACATTCTTAGATTTCCTACGATGGTAATAGTTCTTTACTAATAATGAGTAATGTCATTCATAGTAGTAACAATAGATTTCAGACCATGCTCTCCTATGCTACAGCTAAGTCAATACAAATGTTTCATAGCCTTTCCCCCAAGTTTGAAATCGACCAGTAATTCATACCTTTTGACATTGAACTTATTTCCATAATGCTAGAGTTTGGCCTTTTTTTGACTTTTCACCTGGCCTCTCATGCACCTGTTCCAGGAATCCAATCTAATGGGTGTGGATCTGTGAGCAGGTGCATACATATACACTCTTAAACTGATAATTCCCAAACCCTAATTGTTTGCAACCACTATGAGTCCACAAATAATGGAGATGGAAGTTTTGGGAAGGTAGAGGAGTGACAGAATGATCAATCTTTCCCTTTTCCCATCTCTTCTCAATTCAAGTCTGCTTGATGTATTCTGGCATGTTATAATTACTTAACCTTGATTCCTGGATTCTCCTGAATAAAAAAAATTAAGGATTTAGAAGTAGTTTGAAACTTCAGAATAAAGGCTGAAGCTCCCTCTTCTTATTTCTCAAAGGTCTGCACTCGGGAAAATAGGAGACAAGCGTAGAGATGGTCAGTAACAGTCCACCACATTCCAGTAGGAAGACCCAATAGAAGGATAATCCACATCAGGCTTTTCTCCTGGGGTCAGTCACCAGCACAAGCAACAGCACCAGAGAGACTGCATTAACACATGATCTGTGAAGTCTATTGTAAGGTATCTATGATAGTGGCAAGACATCTTAAAAGAAAACAATTGCAGAAACCAGGCAGGCAGGGTATACTCAGTATATGCAGAGATAGAAACACAGGATAAAGGTATCACATCTTTCAGGACAGATAATATTTACAAAGAGAGAAAAGGGAAGAGGGCATCCCAGGTGGCACATGTAGGCTTTAAATCCTACACCTAATATGGAGATGAAGCTATTTGGTGACAGTGATGGTGGGAGGAGAAAATCAATCCATTGTGGTGACAGGCTGCCATGTTATCAGCATACCAGGACTTGGCAGGGTCCCAGGGGCCAATTCTTTTATCCAGAAAGTGCACACATGTGGACTCCACAAGTAGCATCTCCCCTTATTAGCCTTCACACTGGAAGTAGATGGGCAACAGGTACACCAGCCCTGCTGGAATTCATAATAAAAACTGGCAATTGCAGAACCACAAAAGGCCAGAGCAACACCTACAGGCTGGCTGGGGCTCAGCTGGAAGAACTGGAATGGAACACTTTGGCGATCATCAGAGCTTAAACACCAGGAAGGCTTGAGAGGAGGAGTACACAGGGACATCTGGAATCAGGAAGTACATACTTGACTTTAGAACTATTTCCCTATAGACTGGGATACCAGTGAGTGCCAAGGCTGAGCCAAGTTAGGGAAGGAAGGATCACAGAATCTTGACTTTGCAGAAAAAACAAATCGTGAATTTTTCAAGCAGTAGAATTCTGCAGGAGAGGTCAACACGATCCATGGAAACCCAAGAAATATGAGACATTGCTAAAGAGAGTATCAAGAACCCAGACAATAAGACAAAGTCTGGCTGCCCTCTTCTACCACCAGGAAGACATTCAAGCTTTCCCTTATACTGGGGTGCCTTTCTGAGGGGAAGTAAGGGAAAGACTTGAAAACTGATAATTTCCCAAAATGAGCTGGGTCAGCCAAAAGACATTGATTTTTTGCTTAAACCAGAAGAAACTGGATTACCGGTCAATTTGAGCCGTACCCTCTCACCTTTCAACATCCTACCCACAGCCAGAATAGGATGGGGGACTGAGAGAGAAATGAGGTTAGAAAAAATAAAGAACACACCACATTTATTGTGTATCTCAGTTTGCAGTATGTCAAATTTGAATTTGCTACACAAACATACCCATTCCTCTAATATTTTTTGTCTTTATGACTACTTCCCTACTTTCTTCCTCTGTACCTCTCAGACTTGTTTCCCTCTTTTTTTATACTTAGACTTTAGGCCTGTAGGTAATTCTGGCATACCATTCGAAATTGTTTAATACTGATGGAAGAACTTGTAAGTGAATGGTTTGCTGCTATAAATATACCAAAAATTCAATCACAAAACAGTTTTATCTTTCATTACAGTTATATTGAGCTAATGTTTTCCTCAACATATTTTATGAAGCATTAGTATGATGACATAGATCTGGAAATTTTCACACACAAGCCTCAAACAAAGCTCCCTTGAAGGGAAATTCATCAGCTGAACATTTCCTTATCTGTGAGTTTAACCGACATACTCCCAGGAATATTCTGAAAGTCACTGGGATCAATTTTCTTTCCTTTGAAAGATTAAAAGAGCCCAGAAAAACATTTAAGAATTATTTAATAATTGCAACATAAGCAAAATACCTAGCATGCTTGTACCACTCTAATTCAGCTATAGATAAAAATAAAGATATGAGCTATTTCCAATTAATTGCATAGTCTAAAATAGTCATATTTTGGTAATCCTCTTATAATTCCAGGTCAGATATTATATTATATATCAACAACCTAAAATTATTTACTAACTCTCTGTTAGTTATTATATATATATAAAATAATCGTTATCTTCTCTTATATTATGAAGATGGTTGTCTATATATAGATACAATCTGAAGAAAAATTACATACATTTTATCCTCATATTTACCCTCCAAGCCTCTAGTCCTTCACTTATAAAATGAAGACTATAATAGTAACTGTATAATAGATATAACAGTAACAAATGAATTAATGCATGCAAAGCACTTGGCACAGTGCCTGGTATATAGAAAGTGTCCACTACATAGTAGTCATTATTATTTTTATTACGCTGACTTAGGTTTCATATTTCTAAAGTATAACAAGTGAAGCATGCTATTGGTAATACCTCTAGAGAATGGAGGACTTCTGTCAAGAAACAGCACTATAATTTTATTTTGAGAACACTGAAATTCAAAGTAGTTCATTAGAAAACATTTGTATTAGTTAATAAAGTGGCAGAAGTTACAAAGAAACGGTTACATATTCAAAATACTGTTGCAAAAAAAATTTTGTAAAGCATTAGTATCTCAGTTTTATATCAACTTCTTACCTGTAACAGGTATAGCTGCATGCACTAGTTTAATATGTTTCACTTTCCCATCAGCTATAAAACAAAACAAATCACAGAGGCTACAGTGAGATTCAAAAACACAATGTGAAATTCTTTTTTTTTTTCTTTTTTCTTTTTTTTTTGCGACGGGGTCTGGCTCTGTCTCCCAGACTGGAGTGCAATGGCGTGATCTCATCTCACTGCAATCTCTGGCTAATAGGTTCAAGCGATTCTCCTGCCTCAGCCTCCCGAGTAGCTGGGACTATAGGCGTGTGCCACCACGCCCAGCTAATTTTTGTATTTTTAGTAGAGATGGGGTTTCATCATTTTGGCCAGGATGTTTTCGATCTCTTAACCTCATGATACGCCCGCCTCAGCCTTCCAAAGTGCTGGGATTACAGGCGTGAGCCACCACACCCGGCCTGTGAAATTCTTAACTGTGAGACAGAGCATAAGAAATCAACAATTTCCCACTATTTTCACTATAACTGTATTTTTACCATCCCTTCCCATACCATAAGAACATGGAAAAAAGGAGCATTTGAAAAATTATACCCATGCTTTTTTTTCGTTAAAGTGCTGTGGTGTTAAAGTCTACTTATAGCATTAGAGCAAAAAAAAAATTTTTTTTTAAGACGATGCAAAGTCCTTTAATGATGTTTACTCTTTACTCTTCTTGATATCCATAACTTGAATACTATGATGTAAAGTTAACAATAATTACATTCTATGATATAAAGTCAATATGTCTGTGTTACATGATAAGGGGATAAGAGAGGGAATATACATGCATATACACATATTCATAACAAATTAAGGAAGAAGTATTCATGATGTTATGATAATTACAGGTCCTTATCTTTGTAACTGATCATGTGGCTGTAGCAGGTATTTATAACTACCTTCTTCCACAGCTCATTCCGTATTCTCTTTGCAAGCATCTTAGCTGGTCATACTTCTTTACCTGGTTGGGTGTTCTAAATCTTAATTCCTGAAGGGTCTGGGCCATTAGGAGTCCTTCCTGGGTTGAGTTGTTATAGTTTTCCATTGGTATAATCCAGGATGTGGTAACACTAACAGACGCTCTGAGAGATCTTGTGTATTCTAGATATATTCTTCTTTCTTACCTGCATTGTAGTGGGCAGTCTAGTTTCTCCTAGTCCTCCAAGCACTTTGGGTAATATAATAATAATAATAATAATAAAGAATTCTCTTTATTATTTAATAAAGAGAATTATTTAATAAAATTATTATTTAATATTATTATTATTTAATAAATAATTATTATTTATTAAAGTTATAAATTTATAAATTATAAAATAATTATTTTTATTATATAATTAAAAATAATTATTAAATTATTATTTATTAATTATTATTTAATAAAGATTATTTAATAAAATATAATAATATATATTATATTATTCTCTATATTATTATTATTCTCTTTATTATTATTATTATTTTAAATTATACTTTATGTTCTAGGGTACATGTGCACAACGCGTGGGTTTGTTACATATGTATACATGTGCCATGTTGGTGTGCTGCACCCATTAACTGGTCATTTACATTAGGTATATCTCCTAATGCTATCCCTCCCAGCTTCCCCCACCCCACAACAGGCCCTGGTGTGTGATGTTCCCCTTACTGCATCCAAGTTAGAGCAAAAATTTTAAAGTATTTTCCTCCATATCATTTGATCTCCTAACCTCTCTAATTTGTTCTCTTTCACTCAAGGAAGGAAAGAAAATGAAATTTAATGCATGTCTACCAAGCCATATATTGTGACAGATGCTTTCATATAATGCATCTATCTCATACTTCTATGAAGTTACTATGACTCCTTTTATTAAAAAACATATAAAGAAGTTGAGTCTCAGAAAAGTAAGAACCTTGCCTAAATCACAAAGTTAGTATGAGATTGAAAACTGTATCTGTCAGATTCCTAAATCAACATTTGTTCCATTCCAAGTCAAGTAGGCTGCTGGGGCAGGATTTAAAAGCAGCACAATAACTTGTACCAACATTCTTAAAACTGACCATGGTCACACTTAGTACTCAGTGAGCACCTTTGATAAGCTGATATTTCTAACCCCTAAATTATTTTCACTTATACTTTTTTGCCTATATATTTCTCTTTTCCCTTAATCTAATGCACCTTTAAAAACAAACACTAAGTTTTACATTTTTATAAATTTCATCTCCAGAGCCTAGCATGGGGTTTTTCTTCTTTGAATTTACTTCAAGAAACATAGAATATTGTAAAATATCATGAAGGTAGTGCTCAGTTCAGCAAAATGAAATGCTTACTTTTGGACTGAGTTCCCTTAACATGTGTCAGTTGTATTTGAAGAACTAAAAAAATAGAATTTTAAAAATGTGAAATCATAAACCCACAATCCCAAATTATCCTTTCAGGTGGACAAAGGTGTGTATAATACTCATAATTACCTGGCCAATTGTGTGACAGTTCTTCAAATTCCTTATCAGAGAAATTCATTTCCATTTTCTCTAGAATGGTGTCAAGGTTATCAATAGCAACTTTTCCCTCTTGGAAAAGAGAAAGAACTATGAAAAAGGTATCATGACTCTACAACACCAAAATAATGTCTATATATTATCAATACTATGTCCAAAATCTATCCAAGTGGCAATGAGGTTTAATATCAGAATTAGAAATAAAATATATTTCATTAGGCTTATGTTAAAGAAAATCCTATTCAGCAAGATTTCTAAAAGGAGGCTGACTCCAAACGTCAGTTCAAATGTTACTCTCCTCTACCAGGCAGTCCCTAACTATCCTATCTAAAGTAACCCTGCCATCTTCCACTGTTGATCATGTTACCTTCTTTTTCTTTCATAGCACATATTGCTTTATAAAATCATCTCATTTTTATTTATTAATTTCTCCCTCACCTTAGTGGGAATAAGAGTTTCACGAAGGCAGGAACATTGTCTGATTCACCACTGTATTTCCTATGCCTGTAATACTAGAGAAGTACCTAGTACTATAAGAGCACAGTCAATGTTAATTAACTGAATGAATTATAGCACTGAAGGCAAGGACTCTAATATTAAAACATTAGACAAATAAATGTTGTCCAGACTATCTAAAAAGGTAGTCTCCATTGCTGATAAAATCCTTAAGTCTCTATTTCACATTTTTGTTGCATAGACACAGAGGTTGTTTTTTTCCTTGCCTATCAAGATTGGAGCTTCTTTCCAAAATATGAAACAGTTTATCATGTGATATTAACGGATAAATATCTAAAATAATAACAAACCAATTAATATATGGTGGCAAGACTGACACTCTGATGACTAGGAAATGGTATAAGAATCAAAGCAAAAGGATCACAGTTACTGCCTTTTCATCTTACTTTTTTTTTTTCCGAGACAGAGTCTTGCTCTGTCACTCAGGCTGGAGTGCAGTTAAGTGCAATCTTGGCTCATTGCAACCTCCGCCTCTCAGGTTCAAGCGAGTCTCTTACCTCAGCCTTCCAAGTAGCTGGGATTACAGGTGCCTGCCACCAAGCCTGGCTAATTTTTGTATTGTTAGTACAGAGGGGGTTTCACCATGTTGGCCAGGTTGGTTTCAAACTCCTGACCTCAAGTGATCCACCTGCCTAGGCCTCCCAAAGTGTTTGGATTACAGGCGTGAGCTGCTGTGCCCGGCCTCATCTTATTTTTAAGAGCCTCCATTTCATCTATTTGTTTCATCTGATTTTTTTCTGTTGCAATAAAAGGCAAAATTTAGTAATATGATGATTAGTAACTCATATCCATTCTTAATCTTTCTCTACTCCCACCTACTTCTGCCATCCTATCCTAATTATTTAGGAGCAAATCACAGACATCATATCAAATCATCTGTAAATATTTCAATATGTATGAATAAAATATAAGAGAACTGTAAAAAATATGACTATTAAATCATTATCATGCTAAAATTGTTAACAAGTATTCCTTAAATTATCAAGTATCCAGTTTGTGTTCATATTTCTCTGATTGTCTCAATTTTATATGATTTTGTTCAAATAATGATCCTAATAAAGTCTGTTATCTGTAATTGCAAATGCTATTGCATCTTTTAGGTCTCTTTAAAAAAAAATTTTTTTTAGCTTTTACATTGATATAGAGAGGTTTGTTCAATTCATACAAATAATTTTTCAGATCTATACAGTAAGCCTGAGCTGAGGGGAAAACAATCCTTACGTTGATAGCAAAATATCTTCTAGCCCTCATAAGTCATCTGCAATCACTTACTAGGGAAAAAATTCCATAATCACATAGATCATGCAAACACTTTTTAATGTTATTGGTATTCACTTTTCTAAACTGAGCAAAACAATGCAACTTTTTGCTTTTTTATGGATTTCAATTTTCACATATATTAATGTTCCTTCCAACCTTGATCCAGCTCATTACCTACAGGAATGAGATAAGGGGTGAGAAAAAGATTCTTGAATTTTCTCATTTTCCTCCTTTTTCCTTGAAGCAAATCAAGAATTCATTAAAAATTTTTATGCTCCATTTTCTTTTTCTTTATTTTTAAATTTTATTTCAACTTTTATTTCAGATACGGGGGTATATGTGCAGATTTGTTACATGGGAATATTGTATGATGCTGAGGTTTGGGGTACGGATCCCAACATTTAAATTTTTTATAAACCAGAACCATAACAAAAGACTCAATGGAGTAAATAAACAAATAGGCATCCAAATGTCAGTAATCTAATAGGCCCTGATACAGCTTTAAGATAATTTCACTTTAACATGGAAGTGTTAGAACAGAAAAGAAGTTTCCCAAGAGGCACTCATCTTTAAAATAAATTATGACTTAAATTATTACTGTATAGATTATATCAGGCAAAGGCAGAAAGAATTATTTTTTTCCTCCTTTCATGAAGCACTGTAAATCATCTACCATCTTGATCAACTGTGTTTATTGAAAGTTTTAACATTAGACATTTTTATGGGAGTAAAATAATTAGCAAATAATCATTTAATTGCTTCTCTCCTCCTAGTCTAGCCACATAAACCAGCCGTAATGGATGATAACAGATTTCAGCTCTAATTTGTGAAATATTCCAAGATCTGCCACACTCCCTAAAACTAGAGAAAACTACCACCCGCAAATAAACTATCAAGGTAAATGTAAGTACAGTGTGGTTCTAATTTTCTTTCATATGATCCCAGACAACCTCAAATAACTATAAATGCCTTATTTAAAAAAAAAAAAGTCATTTTAAAACCTTCAAAAGTACTTAAAATATTTAAATGAAGAGCTCTCAAATTTCCTTCGATCAGGCCAGAAATCATTACAAAAATTATGATCACAATTACAAATGGAATGAGTGAAATGTTTAAGTTTAGGACGACCAAAAAGCCCTATGTAACTTTTTAAACATAATCATTTACTCAAATATACTGTAAATGGGAATGGTGATAACACAGGGAGCATAGCTTGCAGGTGAAGTTTCTAGAAGTTCATGAAAACAATGCCATCCCATATTACAGATACAAAAGGAAAAACAGTTCTAATAGAGTTAAGAGTACTCTGGTCATCTTTGTTCATTTGGTCATGCAAGGTGTTAACTATTTTCATTTCCCATGACACAAGATAGTCCATAGGAGGAGCTAGTGGATATTGTCCATTATGAAGGGATGATGGAAGCTGGACCAAGGCTTAGCACCTGAAAGACCACCTGGAGCTTCCAGAACCCTGTGGCTACTCCAGATGCCACTCAGGTCCCTTTTAATTCATAGGTCCCGACTCTATCTCATTTTTCTCTGCACTTTTTTTTGTTGTTGAAAACACTACGTTGTTAGCCCCTTAGAGTTTCCTGTAACCTGTATTTTGCATTTTCATCAGAAAATGTCTAATTTTCTTTATTTTTGAGTGATAGTAGTGATCACTGATAATTACAGGCTAGACCCATTAAACTATTAGGGTTTGCAAAATCCTCACATTCAATGTCAATCATTCCTTTTCCTGCTAAGCTGCAATACATAAGATAAACTTCCTCTTCGGTTATTTGGTTACTATAAATTAAAGTTTGTATAGAAAGTGCTTATTTCCCTCTATTTACCAGTCTCAAAATAATTTGTTTCCTAGAATCTTCCAGTGATGATTTGTGATAATTTTGTTAGTTGTGTGTTTTGTTGTTTCACTTGAGTATCATTAAAAAACTCATGGATTTAAAGATTTGTTTCAAATTACCACAATTATTCTTACTGATGATCAAATTGTGCTATCTTTGGCCAGAGGGAAACCATTCAAGTCAGAGTTTGAGTCCTTTTGATATAAACCTAGTAGTACTGGATAGGTTCATTGCTTTCTGACACTATAAAATACTCCAGGCTCTTCTTGTACATTTTCTTTGGCATACCTGGGATCAGCCATTTCTCCAAAAAGCCATTCTTACAGGAGGTAGCTAGTCAGACATGAACAGAGCAGGAGACACTCTGGCTCCGCCCACCCCTATACACCAGGCATGTCAGGTGCCCATCAGGTCCTGGTCAGGTGGTTGTTAACTCTCTCTCTGAAAGTATAATCTGTCACAGCCAGCACCAGGAAAAGGTAGCCTCTCAATAAACAGAAACACCTAAAATTGGTGATCAGAAGCTTCCCAATATGATCTCAAGAGTTGGGTGAGTGGGCTCAAGCATGTACATTAAGAAGCAAAATGACAGAGTTTAACTGGTATATGATGTTCTAGGGACATTCAGCTGGTAAGGGAAGAACACCTCAAGTGAACAAGGCATACAACTCCAGTAAACACACTGTGCATGCTCTCCTTGCAAGTGCTAGCAGGCCATTGTGCATGTGCACAGCCCACCCCAAGGGAAAAATTGGGGTAGAAGGGATGTAAGACTCTGGAAGTATGTCAACATATAAAACCGCATGTCAAAAGGTCAAAGTGCACACTTGTCTTTCAAGTTGTCCACTTTGCCCTCTTCCAAGTGTACGTTCCTTTCTTTTGTTCCTGCTGTGAAGCTTTTTAATAAACTTTCACTCCTACTCTAAAACTTGCCTCAATCTCTCTTTCTGCCTTATGGCCCTTAGTCAAATTAAATTCTTTCTTCTGAGGAGGCAAGAATTGAGGTTGCTGCAGACCTGTACTGGTTCACTGTTGCTAACATACTTTGTTGCCATGTCTTGGATACGTTCTGCCAATAACACCATGCTTCCTTTTAAAGAAGGGAGATACAGAATTTGGAGACTACAATCTCGGTTTTAGGGGCTGTGTTGTAATAAAAATATATTTTGTCTTGGTCCTCAGTTCCTGTCACAGAGTGATGAGAGTGTCTTTGTTATTTATAAGGAACCCCTTTAGACCATACTTGAGTTATGCTAATGAAGCAACTCATGGCATGGATCCCTGTATAGCTTGTGGCAGAGGAGGTTGGTTATAAGAAAACCAATCACGTGATTAGAGAGTTTAAACTTTCAGCACCACCCCCATTCCCTGACCACTGGAGAAGAGAAAGGGACTAGAGATTGAGTTCAATCATATGACCAATGATTTAATGAGTCATGCCTATAT